TGTCGTAAAACACTATACAAAAACGAACAAAATAATACTCACTCCAATAGTCATACATACTCACACACACATGTGTGCACACACAGGCACATACACCTACGCACATACACCTACTCACACCCATCATCAGACACACTTCAACCCTATTTTCAGAAAAGTCCGTTTTGGCTGACAAGTGCTCTGGTGGGGTTTGCCCCGTTCTTTCCTATCAAACACCTATCGTCCTTAAATCTCCTCCTCTTTTTTATGTTTGTTACTCCCTAGTAACACCTGTAATCTTCGGCTTTTTTCTGTCCATATTCTGTTGCAAATGTCATAAAATCTCTTACTAAAACTAACACGTTTTTCTGTCCATATTCTGTTGCAAATGTTATAAAATCTCTTACTAAAACGAACACGTTTTTCTGTCCAAATTGTGTTGCAAATGTCATAAGAACTCTTACTAAGACTAAAATGTTTTGGACAGCAAATGTTATAAAATCTCTTACTAAAACGAACACGTTTTTCTGTTCAAATTGTGTTGCAATTGTCGTAAAAAGTCTTACTAAAACTAGCACGTTTTTCTATTCAATTTGTGTTGCAAATGTTGTAAAAACTCTTATTAAAACTAAAACATTGTTCTGTCTACTATTTCCCCAGCCGACATCTGGCCTGGGGCCGTACCAGTGCCACATCTGTAACCGTAAGTTCACCAGGGGCACCTTACTGACCGACCACCTCCAGGCTGACCACAACTACAAGTGGCCGTCTGGCCATCGCAGGTTTAGGTCAGTCTTTACCATAATTTTGGTTCCTTTTAATGCTCTCGAAGGGAAAAACAATTGAATGACAAGACAACTTTAATTAGTTGGCTGGAATGCAGGACTCCAACAAATTGCTACCTTGGAATTACAAAGTTCTATCTGCTCAGTACCAAGTTTTGAGAAATTTGAGTTTCACAATATGTCAAGCTTTTTGGAATGCAGTATATTGATAATGACTCAGAATGAACAGGTTTGTGACCTCAAGGTCTTAGTAACTCCAAACAGCTAAAAATGTCAGATAGAACTTTGTACGTCTGAGGTAACGAAATGCCGTTTTGTAATTTGGCATTTGTCAGAGTCTTGCGCCAAGCGATTAGTTTCTTCCCATTGCAAAAATAGGTCTTTTACACCCTCATGGACACAGTTTAGATCAAACAGAAGATGGACTTCAACCCTGCCTGTCAGGTCCTATGTGGGCTGGATACAACATCCCAACCCCCTCCTGAATGTCTTCACCATTGCTTCCCGGTGGACAGGCATGTTTGCTGTGTGTTGATATGGAATGTTCCAATTAGCCTCTTACTAAGTCATGCTGTGTGGTTAAGAAGCATCCACCCTTTTGCTTGACTGTCTCTCTGGAGCTCAGAACATTGAGATTGAGCGCTTTCTGATTGTCACATATATTGTTTATATTTATTAATATGATTATTGTTGGTACACTGGAGTCTGTTTAAATTAAACGGAACTCTGCAGGTCTGCTGGATTTTCTTTGCTGTAGCCGGGTTTTTTTTTCCGGAGAGGTTCCTCAAAGTGTTGAATGATTGCATCGATTGATTTTATCGATTGATTGTATCGATTGATTGCATTGGTGATTGTATCTATTGATATTATTGATTAATTGTGTTGATTGATTATAGCATTTGATTGCTTTGTATTGATTGATTGCATTGATTAATTAGATTGATTGATTGTTGTATTCTGCAGGTACAAACAACACGAGGACGGTGTGAGGCGACTCCAGACTATCCGCTACGAGAGTATTGAGGTGAGCCAGGAGGTGCTGGGTCACAAGTTGTCTCCCCACCCAGCAGTAGGTGGCAGCAACAGTGGTGATGGTGATGGTGGTGGTGGTGCGAGAAACACAGACACAGGCAGCAACAACAACGACGGCACTTCTGACGCGGAGGCTGGAACTTCTCAACTCCTGATCGCCGCCCCCAGTCCTTGCACGAGTGTCGATGACGATAACATTAATGACCTTGACTATGACGATAATGATGTTTCTTCTTCGCGGAGTGTTTCAGTGTCTGTCGCAGGCTGTGGGGAACCACCGAAGAAGGGTGGGAGGGGAGCGAAATCGGCGGGTTTGAGTAAAGACAACCACGGCAAAGCCAGGGCTGGGACTTCTGGAAGACAGAGGAAGGATCATGACCTTGCCGAGGTTGAGGAAAGCCAAGGAAATGTCCGAGGAAATCCTAAGAAGTCAAGGAAATCTCCCAGGAAATCCTCCTCCCCTCAGAAATCGGCGTCTAACCTACCAGCATCGTCATTCACCATGCCTTTGTTGTCCCCGCTAAAATTGCCGCCGGCGCGGAAATCATCGTCATCACGGAAATCATCATCACCGCAGAAAGCAAAAGACAGTCAGAAGAGAAAGAGAGGCAGTGGGGAGGGGGGCAAAGGAAAAGCAAGCAAGTCACGGAAAATTGTTGATCCTGATACTGATGATGCTACCAGTGCTTCAAGTACGAAGGCAGAACATTCCGTAGCCTCCAGTAGCTTCTTCCTGCCATCTTTTCTCTCGGCCGCAGCAAATCTCGGTTTCGCCGGAGCTGAGACGTTGTCTCAAGCATCTACATCTAGTAGTGTCTCTGAGCTCAGTAGCATTCGTACAGGGAAGCGCATCATGTCGGAGGACTTTCATCCAGATGTTACAACCTCTTCTCTCATGAGCATTAGTTCATATGGGGGTTCTCTCAAATCACCCGTCGAATCAGAAACCTTGTATACGTCCGACTACGAACAAACGACTTCAGATATCTCTTCTGATGTGTCGTTTCCCCCTCTCCTCGAAGCGTCAGGAAGGATAAACGCACATCACGTGTCATCTGTCAGAGCCGTCTCTGTGACTACCGCATCACCGACCTTGACCTCACCCTCCCAGGAAGCCTTGTCTAACTCGCTGTCGGCATCATCTGCCAGTCAGCTGCACAAAGACGTCTCATCTTCTGACAATATTGTTAGACTGAGATCTGAATTCAGGTCTCCTACCAAGGTACACACAGGTTCAAACTTCGGGCCTTTAAGCTTCAGCCCGGAAAAGCTTGGATTTACAGTCACAGATGCTAGCGGCCTGGAGTGGAACAGCAGTCCAGTTAAGGTGGAAACGGGGAATGTTTCGGAACAGGGAATGGATGTTGTGTGGAAGACGCCCCACGCTGTCGACCTCAGTACATCTGTCCCAAACTGTTCCACTGTGGAGGTGGGGGTGAGCGCGGAGTGGACGCAACTGAAGGAAGAGCATCAGTCGGAAACTCAGATCAACTGGTCAACGGTTCATGACGATGGGATGTTGGTGAGAGAGATGGGAGGTGGAGAGACAGTAGAATTGGGAGGTGGCGAGACAGCGGAGGTGAGTGGAGATAACCAGATGTACAACCTAGAAATGCTCGGAGCCGTGGCTCTCGGCACACGCCTAGCCACCAGGAAACGGAAGAAATCGGAGACTTCCTAGCAACAGACCTTCTGACTTAAGAGTCTGATCAGGCTCATCATCATCATCATCCTCATCATCATCATCATCATCCTCATCTAGTGTCAGATCTACAACAGACATCAGCGATCGTGGTTCTCTATTCATTTGTTTGATTGGATGCTCTCAAGGAAGCTACATTTTCAAGATCTTCCCTCATCATCCATCTGTTTAGGCTCTCCAAGTAGGCTGAACAGACCGATACCGCGTGATACTGATTTTTATGTATGTTTTGAATGACAGAAAGAAAGGAATACAATGTTTTATTTATTTTACTTTATCTTTTCACTGGTGCTAGTGGGGTATCTCGGGGTAAAACTATTGAATGAAAAGACTACATTCATACAATGACTGGATACTAGACTTCGATAAATGTCCTTTTGCATTTTGGGGTTTGTTGGAGTTTTGCACCCTACCTTTGATGATGGCAAATTATGGTTTACAAAGGCAGGTGATGTAGCGTCGGTGGCCTAGTGGTTAGGCTCTAGGACTGGCAACCGTAAGGTCGGGGGTTCGAATCACGTCAAGGGTCCGACGTTGTGTCCTTGGGAAAGGCACTTTACACGAATTTTCCTCACTTCACCCAGGTGGGAATGGGTACCCGGCTATAGACAGCGAAAGATCTTGTCGGTTTGTTAGTGTTTGAGCGCTTAATCGGCTGCTCGCACTGTATGCTTCCCGGGAAGCTGAGAATGTTTCAGAGTGTTCTATGGTCTGCTGGGGTAATAATATAGTGTAAAGCGCATAGAGCCTGCTGCTGAGCGGGAATATGCGCTTTACAAATGCTATCTATTATTATTATTATGTAGAATGCGAATGTGGGTTTAAGTAAGAAGTTCAAACATGCCACCTATTATGTAACACACACCTTCTCTCCCAAATACACACACACACACACACACTGTTTTTATTAGCATGTCAACAAAGTTGTTTTATGTGTTGTACAACCAGCCAAAATGAGTATCTGATTGGAATATACGGATATTAGTGTGTCTGGAGAAAGGTCCCAGATGTCGGAATTTGTGGATATTAAAATAAGAGTACAGTCAAACCTGTGTAAGACGGCCACCCATTGTCAAGGAGAAAAGTGGCCATATAAGACAGGTGGCCGTCTTAGGCAGGACTGATCAAGATAAAGAAAACAAACCATTCCCATCTGGGGCCCCAATCGAAAGTAGCCCCATTATGTTGTCTTTGTTGGTGTTGTTGTTGTTGGTTTGTATTTCGTTTGTAATTTTTATTTTGTCGCTGATTTTGCACAAGGGTGACAATAAAACGAAATGTATAAGACAAGGAAGACCGAGTGCCATGTTAAAGCTAACACACGGGTCGCCACCACTCGGAGAACGAGCGACGCTTCTGTAACAAGTTCATGTTGACGTCCTTTGTTACTTTGTTACAGACTGGGTAAACAGTGACCACTCATCTCACTTACGATTTGTGTATGAGTTCTGGGCGGGGCTTATGGGTTATGAGGGATCACACGCTTACCTCACCAGCAGCTGAAAATTGGTAGCTATTGGTCAACAGTGGGAGGGGCCTACACAACATGATCGGTTGGAGGGACTACCTAACAACAACGACAGGTGATTGAATTATGACGGCTCGCCCACAACGCCAGGGGCCAATGCACAATTTATGAGAAAACGTAATGGAGTCTCTAAGGTGACCGTCTTAGACAGGTATTATTGCTTAGTATTATAGGGGTTGTGTGTTAAATTATTGTGGCCGCGGCCGCGTTGGACAGGTGTAGAGGTGACCGTCAGGGCAGGTTCGACTGTATATTCTTGTAGAAAATTCAATGTTGAACACGCTGGTATTAAAATTTTCCTAAATCTTGAGTAGTTTTAAAGATATGCCACAATTTGTATGTACCACATTTAAAACAAAGTCCGGAGAAAAAACACATTTCTGGCATATTTTTAACCTTTAGTGAAGTACATGTTGCAAAAATAACTAATGAAAAATATAAAGACTTAAATTATTAGAAAAAATCCTTTCGATATGTTTTTAAGAAATGGTTAAACGCGCCTTGCTAATGGAACTACATTTTTGACCAGGAAATACTTTTTTTGGCCTTTTCACCCCATGACTCAAAAATAGCTTTGCGGACAAGTGGGGCCTTTCTCCGGGCACACATTTGTAATGTGTCGTGGATGTTGTGTGTCAAATACTGCCACTTTTTAATATCATTGCAGCTTCTGTGGTGTAGCAGTTACACGTATGGCTATTGAATGCTGACGACATGAGGTCGATTCCCCTTTAGGGGAGTTTTTTTTTCTGTTGTGGAATGTCTCCGTCTGTCTGCCAGGATGTTATGTTCCTCTCAGTCCAGGTTGGCCCTTAGAGGCAGGGTCAAGCGGTCTGCCTCCTAAGTGATCTAAATTCTTTCAGTTGGGCTGGACAGTAAATCAGTTATAATTACCATGTGTGTACAAAGTGGAGTCCACTTCCTAGTTCCTTTTAAAGTATACCATGTCGCTCCCCGGTGTCTGTGGTGTAGTGGTTAGGTGATTCAGCATCACACACATGAGACCTCAATTTGATTCCTGTGCGTTTGGGTAATTTTATGGAGTACCTCAACCTGTCTTCTGGGCAACATTGAATCTCTCTTAGCTCAGAATAGCCCTAAAAGGCAGAGTTGAAACCTGCCTCCTAAATTATATAAATTGTGTCAATGAGGGGGGGGGGGGGGGGGGGGGTAAACTTATATTTAAAGAAAAAAGAAATCTTACAACTCCTGCCCCTGAAATCAGTATTTTTCCCTCTTTTGTCACACCTACAGCCTTGGTTAACCTTACCTACCTCCCATGGATCTGATATGTCCTGACTTATCTTCATTTATACATGTAGTATGTTCCGCCAAGTGTTCCAGGAATTTTTATATAAACGTTTACAGAATATGTGTCACGACGCGGTGGAATCAGGCGCTCATCAATTTTCAATTTTGGGGCATGTGGAGTTGCTGGGATCATCTTAATTCCCAGCAGTTTTTCCTATTCTGGAAATATTTATGTTTCAGGGGTCCTCCATACCCTCAAGCCTCATACAATAATCTATCTACCCCTAATAGACATATTATATACCAGTGAAAAGGGACTTGGATGGTCAGACCTATGTCCGTGGAAACTGGAAAGTTACATTTTTTCTGTATCTTTGATCACCGTTTTTAGGTAAAATCCACAGAGGAATGTTTTTTTAATGAACAGCAATAAAGGTGTTGAGCCAAAAAAAAAGGAAGTTCAACAAAATTGCCCCATGGCCAGAAAAACGCAGGTTTCTTTGATTTAGCTATTTTGACGAGCTCCTGATTTCATCACAACGCTGCGCACATGTCCCGACTCATATCTTCATTTATAATATTATGTTCTGCCAAGTGTTTTAGGATGTTTATATAAAATTTTATTCAATATTGCTCCTCTATTATGTGAATAAAACATTTTTTCCCCTTTTCAAATGTTATCATGGAGCCAGTTCTCCCATGTTCCCTACCTCAAGGCACAAAATGTTGCTTGTACAACCTTTGCTTTACGGTTGTGACTCATGTTTTACGGTTCGACAAATTCTTCATCTCCTCCGTGGGTGGTTTATGGGTGCCCTGGTGTGGTTTGCTCCCTCTTTCCTATCAAACATCCATCATCCTTATCTCTCTTCATTTTTTTTTTTTTTTTGCTTCTTTCTTGTAATACCCCTAATTTTCAGCACTTATATATGACATAATTGTGTTGCAAGTGCTGTAAAACTCTTACTTAAGCTAAACATCTCTTCCACTCCACAGTCATACAATGATTATTATTACAAACCACTATTCTATCCTTTTCTATCCTTCGACTATTTTTGGGTCTGTTTTGTCAGATGAGAAATTCACTTGTTTTGTTTTTTTTACACAACACACATTTGTATACCTCTTGATATGAATTAAGAATAATTTATATTTTCTGACGTCTATAGTGTAGCAGTTAGACATCTTGCCACCATTGCACAGAGAGAAGAGATGAGTTCAATTCTTGCGTGGAGAGATGGAAGAATTTTGATAGAGTATCTCCTTCTTTCTATTGGACATTGTATCCCTCTCAGCAAGAGATTGAGAGAGAGAGAGAGAGATTGAGAGAGAGAGAGAGATTGAGAGAGAGAGAGAGAGAGAGAGATTGAGAGAGAGAGAGATGGGGGGGGGGGGGAATGAATGATTGGCCCTGACAGGTAGGGTGGAAGCAGCCTGCCCTTTGAATTAAATCCGCTGTCTTATGACAACAAAAAACGTATATTATGCATAATTAGGTCAAGTAGCATTTTTATACATGGGAGAAATCTCTTTTCATGGTGTGTCTTTCTATCTTGGTTTTATGGCTGTACAATCGAAATTGGGGAAGTTTAAGGTTTTTGAAAATCAGAGTTGTGACCTTATTACATATTTATATTGTTTTGACAATAGAAATGTTAATCAATTGCTCCATAACTATTTATTGTTTATCTCAGAAAGTCAGACAAAAGATACACCGGCCAATGAATATTTACAAAAAATAATTAGATCAACCAAATTATATTAGTTAGTTGAAACACACACAAAAAGTTAGTTTTTTTTGCCTCTCTTCATTTTTGGCATAATATGAATGTTTGTTATAAGACAGCAGAAATGATCTAAATAGTGTTGATGGGGAAGTAAATACACCTCTTCTAATTATATTAACAATGTATTTACGAATTATATTTCTTATTGATAATACGATAACAATCAGTAAGGGGGGAAAATGGCTGCCAAAGTGGGCTTGGCTGCAGTGAAGAAATGGTCTAGTAGGGAAAGCTAGAGTTAATTCTTTCAGAATTGAGACATTATGTCTACACGACTGGACACTTGGTGCTGGGAGGAACTTTTTTTCAGAGGGGCTGTCAGAAAAGGTATGTTTCAGAGGAGATAGAATTAGTTGGATGTATGCCATTGCCAGCACTGTCAAAATGGGCTTAGTTCTGGGTACGCAGTTCGCTATCTTAAAATTACAAAGTTCTATCTGCTCTGAACCAGGTTTTGAAAATTTTACCGGAAAAGATGTTGAGTTTCACAACATGTTAAGCTTTTTCCAATGCAAATCTGTGAAAATCTTGAATAATCTTACGGTTTTGATAGAGCAGGTGGTCCATTTGGTTTCTGACCTCATGGTCTCAGTAACTCTAATCAGCCAGAAATGTCAGATAGAACTTTGTAATTCTGAGGTATCGACTTGTCTCTGCTGTCTCAGATTTGTCTTGTAAATTACATTGTTGGGAGATTTCTATCACTCAAATTGATGCTGATTTTAATGTATTATTTTTTTAAATTATTATTATTATTATTATTATTGTTATTATTATTTTTGTATTATTTTTTATATATATATATATATATATATATATATATATATATATATATATATATATATATGTAGAATAATAATAATTATTATTATTATTGTTATTATCATCATCATAAGTATATTGTTATCATGATATTTATTATGATATACTTATAATGATGATAATGATTATATTAATAATAATGATAATGACAATTAATGATATTATCTGTTAGATTCCTATAGCGCCTAGTGTCCACTCTTCAGTTAGTCCCTGGCCGCTTTACATCAATATGTTTTTTTTTTCTATTTATTTACAATCATTTGGTAGTCTTTATATTGGGTGTGTCCATTGTTTAAGAGTTCTGATTTTTATTTTTATTTGAATGCCATTGTTGAAGGCCATTGTTAAAATACATTTTCCAGTTTTTTCTGAAAGTTTTGTGTTCGTGTGTTCTGCAGTATGTTTTTTGTGTATACATGCATGCATCTGATTTTGTGTCTGTGTGTGTCTGTGTGTGTCTGATTATGTGTCAATTGGTGGGGGGTATGTTTGTGTGTGTGTGTCTGTGTGTGTGTGCATGAGGAAGTGAGTATGTTTATGTGTGACAGTTTGTGAACTGGACATATGATATTTTTTGTCTTCAAGATTGACCATTTCATGAGACTGGGCTCTATGGTACGAGTGGAGTGGAGGGTCCAACTAGCACACGGGACTTCCGAGATTTTTTCGCCCTTATCCGAGAAAGCTAGGTGTTAGATCCTACCTCCCCCTAAGATCAGGGGTGTGGCTGAAAAACAGCTGTAAGAGGAAGCCAATGGGTAGCAGTAGAAAGGCTGGAGAAAGAGTCAGGAGCCCAGAGGAGGGGACCTTTTTTTTTTGGGGGGGGGGCAAACAATGGAGACGAAAGCAGACGACAGAACATGGTTTGAGAGCAGGACAGGAAGCGAAAGGAGAACATTTTGGAAAAGAAAATGTTCTTCGATGTCAGGTTTCGAACCCGGGACCTATTGATTGAGATGCGAACATCGGAACCTCTTGACCTCAAAAGCCCTGTTATAAGCCCAGGGGGGCAATCCCGATAAATGCTGTTTTGAAAAAATCGAAGTTACAGTTTTCGGATCCTTATTCAATCTTTTTTAAAGACGAGGGGAGTTTTCTCTACAACCAACCAAACAAATAATTATACACACCAATGAAACCAAACTTCTACTTCTATAGGTAGGGCAATGCCCACTTTTGGTGTAGGTCAAGATTTCTGGAAACCTCCGAAATCTGGGTTAGCTCGCTTGTCCTTGAAAGCGATCAGTTATAAGCAGTTATATCTCCGTCCTGTACTGGGGCGTTGTTCCTATCTCCTCCGGGTTGACCCCGACATGCAGGCTCAAAACAGCCCGCCTCCTTAATCATCAAAATTGTGTCCATTGGATGGGAGGGAGCCGTCGTGATAAAACATTTACTTTTTTTAAAAAAGAATCATCTGACCAGACACACACACTGCATGCCTCTCAGCCCGGACTGGGCCTGACAGGCAAGGTCGAAGCACGTCTCCTGGGTATTCTTATTAATTAAAATAAATAATAAGATAAGATAAGATAATACATTTGTGTACTTTATTGTCCCAGGGTGGAATTTTTCTTGGCTGTATAGGACCGTAAAAACACATGCAGGTATACATACAAAATAAATGTTATATATATATATATATATATATATATATATATATATATATATATATATATATATATATATAAAATTTCATTAAAATTCAGCATGTAGAGAAAAGTGAAAATGCATCATTCAAACACAAGCAGGAATTTGTCTCAAGACCTGCCTGTCGCTTTATATCGGTGCTTTAGCTTGTCATTGACAGCCAGAGCCCACTTTTGCCCGTTCACAGCGGAGCAATAGATTAACACTAGCTGTAGATGTAGCTGTGACTAGCCCGGGCGATCCTCACCGCCCTCCAAAATTATCAAATCGCTCACACTCTCTAGGGGGGCTCTCGTGGCCTAGAGGTTAAGGTGTTAGCTTCTCATTCAAAGGTCCCGGGTTCGAATCCGGGTAGCGACCAAAAAATTTTCTTCTCTAAAATTGTCTCCTTTCACCTCCTTTCCTGCTCTCTTGCAATATTCTGTTTTTGCTTTATTTCCGCTTTCTGCCCCCACCCCCTCACCTCCTTTGCCCCCTCCTCTGGGCTCCTGACTCTTTCTGCAGCCTTTCTACTGCTACTCCTTGGCTCCTCCTTACTGCTGTCTTTCTGCCACACCCCTGATCTTCTGGAAGGAAAGATGTACACCTAGCCTTCTCGGACAAGGGCGAAAAATCTCGGAGGGCACGTTAAAGATCCCTTGGTGGTCTAAAATCGATAAGAGTAGGCTTCGGCCGCCACCCGGGCAAAATTCAAAATTTCCTACCAACTGAAAATATTAGGTGTGTCCCGCGCGCTCATATGACCTATGCAGTTGCGAGCGCCGTAAAACACTTTACAAAAACAAAAAACACTCTCTAGTGGGCGATATCACACAGGTTGGCAAACACTGATCTAAATTGTGTCGATGCGCGTGTAAATACACCTAGAATACCCCCCCCCCCCCCCCAAAAAAAAAATATTAAAAAATGAATAAATGAACAAACTGGCTAATAAAGAAACAGACAAACAAAATAAATTAACAAATAAACAAACAAATGGATAAATACATAAATAAATATACAAGTAAATAAACAGTAAACAATTTTTTAAAATAAAGAAATAAATAAATAAATATATAAAGAAAGAAATAATTAAATAAAGAAATAAAGAAATCATCAACACAGACTGACTGCTTTGCCCGCGGTTCCCTCCAGTCTAGGACGAGTGTGTGCGCCTGTAGGTGACCTCACAGTGGTAGATCTTGGTCCACTCGACTGAGCGCTGCTTCATTTATGTATTAATTAATTAATTAATTAATTAATTAATAGATAGATAAACAGATAGAGAGACAGATAGATAGATATATAGATAGAGAGACAGATATATAGAGAGACAGACAGATAGATAGATAGATAGATAGATAGAGGGATAGATAGATAGATAGATAGATAGATAGATAGATAGATAGATAAATAAATAAAAACTCGCCAGCCCACACAGTGTTCGCCCCGCAGTTCCCTTTACGACGAGCGTGTGTGCCCGTAGGTGACCTCGGAGCGGTAGATCTTGATCATGCCATCCACCTGGCTGAGCGCCACCTGACCCCTGTGACCCGCCACCAGGCCGCACGGTTTGCTCAGTCCCTGCTCCGAGGTGAGAAGTTTGCGCACGAAACAGCCGCTCGCGTCCAGTTGCAGTATCGAGTCAGCGTCTCTGTCGGCCAGCAGAACTTGACCTGATTCATGAACTGTGACCCCGAGGGGACACTCTAGGGTCAAGGACTCTGTCGATTTCAAAGTCGAGGTCACTGCTCCTTCGGAGGTCAGGCGGAAGAGAATTCGCTTCCCGCTATCGGACACGAGAAGGTCTGGGATTTTTACGTCGGCGGCGCGGTCTGGCGTTTTCGAGGCGTTTTCCGCGGCGTTACTGGCGGCGGAGGGAGAGGCAGCGGCGGACGAACGCCGGCGGTTGTTGAGGTTGGTGGGGTCCAGTTTATCAGTGTTGCCGCTGCTGCTGCTGTTTTTGCTGCTGTTTTTGTTTTTGTTAATGTTTTTGTTGTTAGTGTTTTTGTTGTTGTTATTGTTGCTGCTGCTGGTTCCGTTGCTGGTGTTGTCAGAGATGGCGTCGGTGGCAGACGTCGTTGTCGTTGTGCTGCGGTGTGAGCTCTCCTTGTGGTGGGCGTAGCTAACAGCCCTGTGCGGTGGTGGAATCGTCACTGCGAGGTACAACGGGCGGGCAATCGACGCGCGATCCGGCCGCTGGGCGTAAAGTTGCCGCAGCAACTGTCCCTTATCGGTAATGAGGTCTATTGAGTCGCACTGGTTAGTCCCCGCGGCGAGAACGCCGTCCCCCACCGAGGTGAGGAAGGAGTAGATCTTGCGCACGCGCGCGAAGCTAAGGAACCTCACAGTCCCGTGTAAGGAGAGGAAGTAGAGAGCCTTTTTGTTCATAGCCGAGACCACGGCGCGAGACTGCGACACGGATGCTATACGGCTGGGCACCGCCTCCATGACCACGCGGGTGAGAAGCTTGCCCGAGTTGTTGAACTTCTTCACGCACTTGTTGTCGCGATCCGTAAGGATGACGTCACCGTTGGCCAGGAGCAGGAGGTCTGTGAGAAGTGGGTCACACATGTCGTCCCGACATCCGCCGTGGAAGCTTATGACGGGTGTCAGGGTCAAGCTCGCCTCTCCTCTCGCGATTTGGTCGTCAGTTTCCGAGCCCTGGGGCCCATTGACAGACACGCTCCCCAGAACGGCGGGCCGCAATGCTTCCAGACACTGGTCACTCCGCGTGTAGTGGACAGTCGGGCCGCTGTCTGAGGTGGCGAGTGTTCCTTGTTGCTGCTGTTGCTGCGGTTGCAGGCGGTGTGAGAGTGATGGGAGGTAGCTCAGTAGTTCGCCTTCACCCCGAGCGCTCAGAGAGAGGTCAAGGACACTGAGCTGTGCACTGAGTGACCCCACCATCGTCCGTGCTGAAGTCTCCGCCGCGCGCGTCTCTTGACTCATCTCGTTGAGCTTTGCGTTGATCTCGTCCGTCAACAACTTTTCCTTCGCGAGGATGATGTTCATCAGCTCCACGCGCTGAGATTTAATCTCCAGCAGAGCCGCTCTCCGCATCTCCTCTATGGCGTTGAGCCTGTCTGTGTGGATGTCTTGCGCTAGCTGGCACTGAACCATCGAGTCAGCCAGACGAGCATGCAGACGATCTAAATCTTCCCGACTCGCTTCCACCGCCTCGTTCATTGTGCGCAGTGGCTGACAACGACGGTGGAACACTGACACGCACTTCTCGCACGCGGCTTGCTGGCATTTCCCGCAGAAAGTCTCCGCCATTTTGTCGGGGTGTGAAGGACACGGGAAAGTCTGCGGCTGCGTTGAAACTGATGACGTCATCCATTCTTCTTCGTCGCTGTCCTCTGATTGGTGCAGATGCCAGTCCTCATCCCGTGTTCCTCTCGCGCTTTCTGAAGCCGGGAGTTCTTCCCGTCTTTTGCGACGGCCCTCTTCTATCTCCTCCGCCTCCAGAAATTGTTCAAACGCATGCCACGGCCGAGCCGGGTGGGACTTTCGATCTTCTGAACTCGTGACGCACAGAGGGCAAAAGAATTTATCCCGAGAGTTCTGTGTACATTCATCTTGGAGGCAGCTCAGGCAGAAGGCGTGTAGGCACGGCAGGAGATGGGCGTTCTTGGGCTGTTTCTTGCACACTCCACACGCCACCACAGGGGGCTCTGACCCCGACATTGTCACGACGGAGGGCAATGTTATATATATATAGTTCAGACTGAGGCTTGGGTTATGAACTGTGGACAAACCAAACGTTTTAGAAGTTAAATGCTGTACTAAGCAACCGGGCTCATATTTACCTTTAAATTGCGCTCGTTGGTTGTAAAACACAATTATCTGTTGCAACTCAGCAAACAAAAAACAAACAAAAAGGAATGGATCATAACGAAATCTGTGAGTGTGACGACCGACATAACAATTTACTTTAAAAATTAGGATGATAATGAAGTAAGGCTGTTTCCATACTAGGCTTGGATAGAATTAAGTCAGTACAGATATGCTTGTAAAATTGCACACCAATGCTGGGGGAAATTGGGGGGGTGGTATGGTGTCACAACGTGATTGAATCAGGCTCTCGTCAATTTCTGGGCATATGGAGTTATTACTATCACCTTAAAGCTTGTTCATTTGTCTTGCATATGGCGTAAAAAAATACAAATTTATCATAATTAAAAGTCAAGATATTTGTGATTAAAGGAGGCTGGGGTCGCCTGGATTCAGAGGTAAAATTAGCGAGAAAATGGCTGCCAAAGTTCTATGACTTCCAAAACGTAAGAGTCCTTGGAAAGTGAGCATTTACGGGTTTTTTTTGTACTTTCAATCAATGTTTTCCAGTAAAATCTACACAGTAATGTGTTTTGAATGGACCTAAAAAGTGTTGAGCCAAAAAACAAAAATTCGATATAAATTGCAAGACCGGTGGACAGTCGCTGGTTTCTTTGATTTCATTATAATTTTAACGAGCGCCTGGTTCCACCACGCATCCTGACTTATAGGTTTAAAGCTCCTATCAGCATTATTAGATTATTACAGAGACGGAACATCCGAGTTTAGCGTACATTTTTGAAAGGATCGAGACAAATGTGAGGCGTGCTGACAAATGAGTTACTTCTCGCGATCCAAGAATGGAAGATATCGGCCGAAAATCAACACTGGGGTCAGATGTATAGATTTTCAGTGATGCCATTTCGTTCAAGTCTACCGTGTCTTCTATTATTCCATACTTACAAATTGTGCAAACTCCACCTGTAAAGTTGATGTATCAATTTCCATACACGGCTAAAATCCGAAAGAAGTACATTGTAACTCATTTTGTCAGCACAACTCACAAATAAGAAATTCGCGTAAACTGTAAAAAGCCTTTTTCAAGGACGCAACGTCGGACAGAGCTGAGACTCGGAAACCCCGAATCCGCAATCTCACTATTACAGGTCGGGCAGCCTAACCACTACACTACCGTCTCTACAACGAGGTTATGTTATAAAACACAATTATCTGTTGGTTGTCACAACTAGACATACACAGAAATTAATAGATTATACCAAAACTGAGAGTGTAACAACCGACATAACAGGTAACTAAAGAAATTAGGATAGCAATGAAATGAATAAGGCTGTTTCCTGCTTCTCGGGTTATAACTCTGGACTTTATTGAAGTTTAGTGAGTACAAATACGCTTGTAAAACTGCACACCAAGGTTGTAAAACGCAATAATCTGTTGGTTGTTACAACTAGGCCTACACAAAAATAAATAAATCATAATAAAAACCGAGAGTGTAACGACCTGCATTATAAGTGATTAAAGTATTAGGAGAACTAAGAAATAAGGCTGTTTTTAGCTTCTCAGGTCACGACCAGAAGTTATGCTTCTCTTAAAGAGTGGGCCCCCAAACAGCGCGCCTAATGACCAGAATGCGCGTCCTCAAGGGGTTAATTATAATAGTAGACACCAATTATTCGTGTCTTGGTGCTGTTTTAGCCTGGACATAAAGACGTATAGTTTATTACAGTTTATAAATTTTCAAGAAATCAATGCGGTCCTCAGCCTGAACACGAACGTCAGCGGCGACAAACCCGGATCGCTTAGCGGTTTATGAGCCACAAGTCAAACTGCTGATCGGGGTTTTATGTGGGGATTTGGGCGAGGTAATTGCTAAGGAGAGCGCCTGAAGGAGGAGGTATTGTTCTCTTTGTTGAGCCCTCGGCACGCCATGATTAAGGCAGGGCTGTGCTGGGCCGATTGCTTGACTGGTTCAGTTTGACAAGGAGTTTGTTTCTAGGGTCTAACTAAGAAAAACTCTTGTGGGCTCGTAAGACTAGGGGAAAGGTGTCTACGGTGGTACTGCAGTTAGGCGCTTCGCTGTGGCATCCAGAAGACCCGAGTTCACTTCCTCGCCTCCTACATGATTATAGATTTGTGTCGATTTCTAGTTTTTGTTTTTCATGTCATTTATATTGTTTAAAAAATTTTTTTTTATATTGTTTTCTTCCAGTAATTTTCTCCTACCTTAGCCCGCCAGATATTCGGAATTCGTTAATCCGGCCCGCGACTTGGACACGCTTGTCCATGCCTGCCACAAAGTGAACCATTACGAAATAGCGCACACTAGTTCCACTACTCGCTACCCTAGAATTACAACGTTCTATCTGATCAGTACCTAGTTTTGAGAAATTTGAAGTTTAAAATTGTGCGTTTTGCAACATGTCAACCTTTTTCGAATGCAATTCTTTTAATATCTTGATAAAGACTTCAAATAATTTTACGATTTTGATCGAGCAGATAGAACATTTGGTTTTTGGCCTTATGTTCTTAGTAATTAACTGAAAACGACCAGAAACGTCAAATAGAACTTTTGAATTCTGGGATAGCCCCATGTAGCCCTCTGCTGCTGTCTAACTTAAAAATTTTGAATCCTTCTCTATCCTAGATCCTAGATAGATAGTACAGTAACAGACATGAACAGACCTACAGGTGGGGCTCTGGCCTTTTGAGAATGTGAGAAACTTGATAGATTAAACGTCCCTGCGATATTGTGCATCTAAGTTTATTTAAGGGCGGGACGTCCGATTTTAACGTCTTTTTCCAATAGCTAAATAAGAAAATTCATTTGAGGTAATAAAAAAAATAAAAAAATAAAATTTTAAAAAAGAAGAAAAAAAGATGAAAAAAGAAAAAAAGAAAAGCAAATAAAAAAGTATAATGTCGCACCGAGTTGAGCCTTGAATTCTGAAATTTCTGACAACAACACAGGCACACGCTATACACTGGTCAGTTCATCTGGTTACTGCACAGTAGCACACACACACAACTCTGTACAATGTACATGTAATCACTACACAGTAGCACACACACAACCCTGTACAATGCACATGTAATCACTACACAGTAGCACACACACAACCCTGTACAATGTACATGTAATCACTATACAGTAGCACACACACAACCCTGTACAAGGTACATGTAATCACTACACAGTAGCACACACACAACCCTGTACAAGGTACATGTAGTCACTACACAGTAGCACACACACAGTGTACAGAAGTCACTGCAGAATCACACACACACACACACA